CTACTAGGCAACTGACGCCCTACCGCTGATTCTCGACAAAATGCGTTTTCCTCGGTGTTATAGCGCATTCCCTACAAGACCCGTGAACGGTGAAACATTTCATCTTTGACCTGACCTGTGACGTCATCGGTGACCCCAAGGTCAATGAAATTTGGTTTCCTTCGACAAATTTGACAGGGCTATCGAACACCGTTTGAATTTTGCGGATCCGTCCAGTAGTTTCGGAGATACGAGGGGGGGGCAAAAAATAGCCCCCCCCCCCCCCACCAGGTCGCGTTATAAACAGACCCCACCAGGGCGCGGGTTAAGAGTGAGCAGGCACTATCGTTCATGCAGCGGTCTTCCAGAGAGCTCGTAATTCGCAGATGCGTGCGATGGAACTCTCGCGGAGGGGTGAGTGGCGCCACAGGCTAGAAGTGAAATATTTGTTTTGTTTATTCCAGAAAAACGGACTAACTATTCGGGGCTCTGGTAGTTATCGCACATACACTGCACAATATACATACATATATCGCCTCGCCATACAACTCAGCAACTATTATGTAAAGCCGTTTTTCATGCGTGGGAGCCGCTCAGTTTCACCGGGCGGCGTCGCCGGGCGGCGCTCCCCCGATTATGCAGCAGCCGAGCTGTAAGGGGCGGGGTAGGAGAGACGGGGGAAGACACCAGACCTGCTGCCTGACTGTGGAGCCCGCTGCGGGCCAGTACTACTTCGAGTTAGACGCCACCCACCCAGAGGAGAGAGACAGCGAGAGAGAGAGAGAGAGAGAGAGAGAGAGAGAGAGAGAGAGAGAGAGAGAGAGAGAGAGAGAGAGAGAGAGAGAGAGAGAGAGAGAGAGAGAGAGACAACGGGAGTGCCCTCCGCCGGGCAGTGGGAGTGTCCGCCGACACCGGAGCCTCTGAGGAGTGTCCCGGCTGAGTGCCGGCCGGGCCCGGTCGGTGTTGGCTGGTTGAAAAGCTGTCTCGATCGTTCAAACCGGGGAGAGAGTCCACGCGAAGCCGGAATACTAAAAAGTATGTCCCAACTGCCCATGTCTGCGTGAGCTTAGACGCCATTGTTTGGGTTTTCCGGATGCACTCACGACAGAAAGAATAGTAACTGATGAAAACGCCATAGGTATGAATTATCGATGAAGGCGTGTTAAAACGAACAGTCATTAGCACATACATATAAGGTATGATATATTGGGATAAACAGTTTCCTAGATTTTGTTGTATAACAAAATAGTAAATACAATGTCTCCCTGGTATCTAATGCATACCTAACCTCCGAATAAGATCCGCTATCTAGCCTTGTCCTTCTCCCTTCTCTTCTTTATCACTTCTTACTTTCTATGAATATCATTTCGAATGCACATGAATGGCGCTAAGCATAAACGATATTCGACATTTCCAATTCAATGAGCATTTTTCGCAACCAGCCCGACCGAGGAGCGAGGACACCACACCATTATTAATCATAAACCTCTCTCCAGTCAAAAATTACCTCGAAAAAAGAACGTCATACATAGCAGTAGGCACAGGAAGCTATGCAAAGCAAATACCTTCAATACTTAAGCTTCTGCTAGTAGACGAGCAGGCTAAATATGCAGCGTTTCGGTTACCTGTACGGGGTAAGGCAAAGCATTACATATTAGGTACTCTTAGATAACTCAGTTCAAAAAGCGTCTGCTGCAGGATTCATACTGATCACCTCGGTTTCACGCGATATCCTTGAGTTAGGCATTTGTCATGACATATGATTATACGAGCATATTAACCCTATTAGTGGCAGGGGGGGTTGTTTTTATCCACCCCTCAGGTTTTTCGGGAATATCTCCGAAACCGCTGAAGCTACGATGCTGAAATTTTCTGACTTTTCCTAAAACTAAATTGGGCACATTCCCTGAAAATTTCAAGTTCATAACTTTACCAGGGGCGTCTCCAGAGCACTGGGAATTGGGGGTCCTATTCGTGAAGCGAGTCATTTGGGCGAAGATCACGATGCTGCACCAGTTTTACGAACAGTGAATGAAAGGTATCATGTGATAACATATACAAAGTTATTGTGCATCCTCTTTTGACACGTTTTTGCTATAATAGGCGGATCCAGGCGTCCAAAAAGGGGGGTTATGTTTTACCTCCCAACATAGGTGCCCTGACACCGCCTATGCATGACCAATACAATTGTAGTCGTTCTCTCATAAGAAAATTGTAACATAACAAGACCATTACCACCCTTTTTAGAAACAGTACCAACAAAAACCTTATTTACTATACTTTTTGTGTACCCCCAATCTCAATGATCTGTATCCGCCTATGATTTTTGAAAATGCATATTTTTAGGATCCATGTGAATTCCTGGTTCATTCTCTATCGATCGGCAAAAGTTGCGTTAAGATTGGTTCAGAAACCTGGCCGTGATAAACAGTCTAAAATGTATCTGCAATTTGCCCGTTTTTACCCCCCTCTACCCCCCCCCCCCCCTATTGACATTTTTTAATTTTTATTTTTTAGAAATGTAGATCACGTTGAGCGAAATCGAATGCCGTTTGAATTTTGAAAATCGGCCCGTTAGATCTCGAGATATCAAGGGGGGGGGTCGTAAACAGCCCCCCCCCCTGCCACTAATAGGGGGTAGCCAGGAGCCTGCCACTAATAGGGTTAAAACGGAACGGCTTCCCGATTTAGTCAGGGTTCTGCTTACAACAGATTGATAGCATCCTGCATCTTAGCATTATCACGTGATCTCAGTTTCAGTGCTAGCTCAGTACCTCCCAAGGATCAATAATTGATTTGTGACGTCACTTTTCTGCACGCCGCTCGGGGATGTTTGTAAGGATGTCGACGGGTACGGGACGAAATCATTGGACACTTGGACACGTCAAAGTGCCTGTGATGGACGTCGGCTTGACGGAACAGTCCTCTTCTCCCTCCATCTCGGCCCATCTCCTTCTCGACGTCCTCCACGCCGCTCCCGCGCTCGGGTCAGGTCAGAGGTCGGGCGCATCCTCACCCCCCCCCCCCCCAGCGGCGTCCCTGGAGACGACCCCCGACCTTTCACACCACCATTGGCCCGCACTTTCCCTTTGGCCCGGGCGCTAAGCGATGATTCTCCGGGCCGCGCGGCATAAATTCTCCGCCGCATCCGCGCGCCGCGATTGCCGACACGCTGGACGTGTGCGCCGCATTTGTCACGTCTTTCACTCTGGTGCGCGCCGGGCCGAGCCGGTGGGCGGCGGCCACTGCGCGCACAAACAAATGCAGAGTGCGTGCCGGTGCGAGGGCGAGGGCGTCGCACCGCCAGCGGGCTGGGTGGGGCCGGCACGCCGAGGACACTATATGCCACGTGATCTCAGGCCTGGAGGAGCATTTCAGGGGCAGTTTGATCGAAGTTTGAAGGCAGGTCGACGAGACGACAGACCCACTGAATGAGTTTGTAGCTTAGCATCAACCTTTTGACAGGAATTATGTCAAAATTCGCGTTGGGCGGAGCTTGTCGCGCTAAACATTCCTCCCTGACGGTCCGGCCGAAAAAAATAGGGTTGTCGGGATAACGTTCATTTTGTGCTTTATCATTCAAGCAAAAAATAAAACAGCGTCTATAAAGAAGCATGAAAAATAACCCCATCAAGGCGTTCTTTTATACATCAATAACATCAAACATAGACAGCTGAGCCAGTGCCTAGCTAGATATCCGGCGCTGATCACTCATTGTGCAATGTCTGGAGCAGCGGCCGGTTTATAGTTACGATCGGTGCTGATTGAGTATCTGTATCCACCCAGCCGTTTGCCGTGATTGGCTGCCCTAATGAACGTCTGTAATGTGCCCGTCATGACCTAATGAGCCCGTACGGACCGTTCGCCCGTCGTCTCCCGTGGCGACTCGGCCAGACGGTGAGACAGCCATCTCGGAATGGCGCCTGAACACGCCGATTGTCGGCTCTAAATGCATCGGACTTGTCTGAATACACCAGTTGTGTCACTCAACAGCTGAGTGCTGGACGACACGATCTGGTCGCTCTTTTCAATAATGCTGATTATATGGAGAAGCAAGATCAAATGGAATTCGTGCATTCGTTGGTGTGAGTTCTATTGGAGCGCATATTTATACGACCTACCATAATAATACTCATGTCATTCCTGATGACAAAACTGTGTTTCTGCAACAATGCTTATGCTGAGTCGGTGTATGAACACGGACATTTTGGCCTGGCCCGGGTGTTATTTTAAGGACTTTGGACACTGCGCTTGCCTTCCATATATAGATATGCGGACTGGGGCCCAATTATTTTGAGCACCTTTCCCTAAAGCATTGTAAAATGTAGGTAGTTGTCAGTTGAATTTATTCTCTATAAAACTGGCATTTTTTCACGTTCTTTTGTACTAGTACAATTAAAATCATAAATAGCACTTAAAGGAATCACAGTTCTTACCATAACTTGCACACCTCTAGAAAATATGTAATTACCATCTCTATATTTCACTCTGTTCACGACAATATACCAATCGGTCCACGGCAGAGGCAGTTGCACTTATATAGGCCAAAACAAGTATCGATCGGTACTTAAATTAGCGCTGACTACGACTAAAATCTGCTACAATGGGCTAAAATGTCTCCCCCAATGTATGCTATTTAAACCCATAAGTTTTGACAACCGAGACAAATTCCACATTATTCGAGCAATTGGAGTGTTGATTCGTCGATAACCCATTGGGTGGCCATTATAGCCATGAACCCATGAGATCATCTCCAGGTTCTCCAAACAGCCGGATTAGAGGTGAGAACGGCTAGTCTGACTTTCCCTCGCCTTTAGCGTCAACAGTTTTCGACATTGGGCCGGTCAGCGGCGAGTCGGGCGCACATTTTCATTTCACCTGGTCGTTTCTGTGACGTAAGCGGCGCCGACGGCGCGGCTGACCCGACCGGGTCACTGCGGCGCCGCCGCGGGCCGGCGGGCGCGCCTGCGCACTGCGCCGGCCGGCCGGCCGAGCTGACCGGGCGCCGGCCGCCGGCCGCTGCAGTACGGTGGTGACGCCGACAGAGGCCGGTCGCGTGCTGTTGACGTCCTGTGGCATGGCGCACCTGCTCTGAGCGTCCTCGCCAGCCGACCGTCAGCGATCACCCAGAGAGCCAGCCAGCATGGCCGCGCGCAGGTCCATGAGGCCATCATGGACCGGCGGCGCTGCCCTCGGCGCGCTGCTCGCCGCAGCCCTCATCGGTAAGTGGCCACCGACTCTTACCGGGGACCGTATCCAAGACTGGAATCGGGACTGATGGGCTGGTGGAGGTTTCATTTGTGGCCAACAAAATGGCAACAAGGTTTGCTGTTGCCAGCGTCACGAACTTAAAATGTAAATATGGTTGTTCCAGATTGATGTTTCTGCCTTATCTGCGGTTATATTTCTCATTTTTGCGAAGCTCATTTATCGCGATCTAACTAGTTATAAGCCTTCAGATTTTGCTGGGCTTCTTCAGCACTTGTTCTTAATTTATCGGCAACTGCATCGATTAACTGTGCTGGAAAAGGCTTCAAACACCACTCTCATCGAAACGACCAAAAACCGCCACTGCGAGACAAACAAGTTGCGCTTTTAATTACCACCTTGCAGTCCGAGTAACGTTGTTTCTAAATCATAAATTCATATTTTCAAAAGCACACCAATATCACGGCTATTTTAAATAAAGCTTTCACATAGCTATAACCAGTTTCCGGAAAACTTGTTGCGAGGCCAAGATTGGAGGTTCATTGAAAGAGCTCATTACTTCAATGAAAGCTTGCACCACACTATTATTTTACTTGTGTTCAACAATGAATAAGTCTTCTTATTCATATGCGTACAGCTACTGTGAAATATGTCGCCGCTATCATGGATCCCTCAACGTTCAAAACACATATCCCCTGGTAATTGTAGGTCATGATTCACACAGTCTCCTGGATTCCGAACCGATCGGATCTATGTCGCACGATTCTCAGCGATAAAAACCACTGTTGGTCGGAGTGGAGAGCACCGAGCGGGAACAATGCAGCCACTGGGACAGCGGCCACTGCCCGTGCCGTCTCACGTGCCTTTGTTTTGTGATGCTCATCGGTGAGGCTGACCAGCAGACCGGCCGGCCGGAGATGCAGCCCAGCTGTCGGGCGCAGCAGAGGCACCGATCGCGTCACGGATCAGTGGAGCGTCGGGAGCGGATGCACCCGCTGTCCGCCGTCCTCCGTCCTTCCACGGCCCGCGGCCGGCCGCGCGCCCTCCGGAGGGGAAGGGCAGGCGGCGCGCACGCCACGCCTCACGCAGGTGTCCGGCCGGCCCTTTCTCTGAGCCAGCGGCGGTGACGGCGACGCTCGGAGTTGCGCCATGCGGCGCGCTCGTCTCTGTCGCGCCGCGCTGACCGCCATCGGCGGCTCGCCGGCGGTCAGCGGTGGCTGCGGTTGCATCACGGCTACTGCCGGGTATGTGGGACGCCCGTCGCCGAGCCATCTCGACACCCGGCCGGCCGTCTCGGCTGGATGGGCGGCACGGGACGCGCTGACCAGTCGGCCGAGCGGCCGGCACGCCCCAGAGACACACTCCCGACGGCCCGACTGTGGTAGCGAGTCCGTCAGGGGTTTCTGCAGCAAGGTAGCTGCGTCACATCCCACCTCACGTGCCGCCCTATTCAGTGATTTTCCGCCTCATTAGGCACGATTTATGTCATCTCGTCATCAATATCACGCCTCATTTGTGACAAAGACGTGGTGTGAATTGACTCAATTCCTGACGACATTCCGTCTTTACCAATTTCACAACGGTGGATGCATTTCTCTTGTGGCGACTACGATTCCAATTCGTGATCGAATGTGGCGTTTTCCGGGATTTCTCCGGGCCAGGTCTATTGGTCGTGGGCGTTGCGACAAATTCTGAGGCCACAGGTCAAAGCGTGGCGACTGATCTCGCCTGCCCGTGGCCCGTGAGGTAACGGTTGGGTAACCGTGGGTCCATGGAACCCGCCACCTGTCTCTGATCGGCCGCTCTCAGTGGGACGTTGCCAAACCCAAGTGGCTAGAGCTGGCCTTTCGCTGGTGGATTATTATCGACAGTTGATGGAAACCGTGATGTCCATGACTCGACCGAGTCGCAGAGTATCGCCGTGTGTCGCAGCGTAGCATTTGATAGCGGCGGTAAACGGTTGCGTAAGGCAGCGAATCGAATGAAACAGCTGCTCCTAGTCATTTAGCTCCCAATTCTATAAAAGCATAGATCAGAGTTTTGGAAAAAAAAGAATAACCAACGTCACGTTAATGACACTTATCTTAAACCACCCACTGGGGTGCGCACTGTAGCAAACTCGCTAATCAACGATTCAATGATATTTATGTATTATCTTGAACATCCCTGTTATGCATGAAGCTAAAGGCTCACTTATCTCTAGATCAATTTGATCATTATCTCGCTACGGTCGGTTGATGCTGCTGATGGCTAGATTTTGCCATTGATGCAAAAAGAAAACTGAAGTTTGTCTAAGCTAATAGCAATTTCTCTTACATTCAAAGACTTGATTGCAACACAACTGGCGGTGGCAGTTCCCAGTGATACATTCCGCTAGTGTAGCACATGGGTGAACCGCACATCTCAGAGCCTTGCCACATGGCCGGCTCTGCAAGTATAATCAGACAAATTCTTCCTGGTTCCAGAGCCTATGTTGTAATACACGTCCCCCGTGGTATCGTCTCTCGAGGCGGAAAAATACTTTCACCGTCGTCGTCGCCAGCTCGCGAGGAACCAGTCCTGGCAGGGAAACGGCGCCTCTGGGTGCCGGGTGGCGCCCCACATGAATTAGTACCAGAGAGCTGCCGTCAGACGAGCTCGGACGCGGCTTAGAAAACTCGCCGGCGGGACATCACCGAGACACGATGTAGTAGCAGATTAAATTATCCGCACTGACGGCGGGATCAAGTCACTGATATTTCCCCGGAACTCATACATTGGGAGAGCTGTTCTTCGTGTGGGCTTACCAAAACACAATTTCAGGACGGAACATCACATCAATCAACGCATCATAAATGCCATTCAAGATGTAATTAAATGTAATTCACCATACTTTTAACAACAGCTCGAGCCTCGAATCACATCACCCCTCCCCCTCCCCCCTCCACCTTGACGCGTCACCGGTCGATGAGCTCCCTCCCACACCCCTATCCTTACTAAGCCCCGCCCCGCCCCCACCACTCGGCAAAAAGCGAATCACCGGGCCGGCCGGCGGGCACCCCGACGTCCGCCGGCGGCCGGCCCAAGTAGGTCAGCAGCGCGGCGGCGCACACTGGTCGGAAACGCTCCAGCGAGAGGCCAGCGGCCTTTCCGCAAAAGTGTTTTGCTTGTTATTCCACAACCAGTGAAGCAAACTTCATAAAACTTTGCATACCTTCTCTGTCATATGTAAGCTATCATTTGGATGTCAAGCACTAAATATATGACGTGAATCTGTTAAGTTATGACGTCATAATTGAGTATAATACAGGATCTAGCACCACTTTAAGTCAGCAAGGGAAATTGGCAGCTGCTATTCGGGCACCGGGAATGGTTTCATGCACTCCTTGCAAGGTCCAGTGCTTGACTTTAGCATTGTTGACTTTGCGTGACGTCATTTATGACGTCACTAAGGCCATGTAAGTTTTTCGTCAATAACTCCTGATCAGATGGAGCTAGAGAGTCGGGAAAGCCACCATTGGACTCAGGAAGACCTGCCGAATCGAATGATATGCGATATGACCTCCTTCAACCATTTTCGTGACCTGAGGGGCTCCGAAGTCCGACCTGACCTTGACCCGAGGTTAACACCTTAGCCCTCGCCGGCACAGGGGGGGGGGGTGATGCAACCCCCCTAAGGTTTTTCGCGAATAACTCGCGTAAAAAGCGGCCGATCGCGACGAAGCTTTCAGTGCCCTCGCATTGATCAATTTTACACCTACCCTGAAAATTTCATAACCCTGACCCCAATGACTTTTGACCTGTGAGTTGTGACCTCTTTTCCGTGACTATGTTTGGCCGAAATCGCATTCGGCGTATGTCGGCTCGCATTAGCCGCGCGTTTGCAAGCTTTTCGTGGTTTCAAATGTTCAAACATGTGATTTGATGTTGCTCCCATACATAAGGATGGGTGTCAAGGTCACCTGAAGGTCAGATCAGGTCATTGACCTTTGGTGACCTCGGGTGACGGTTCACTTTTTCGAGTTTTACATGTTTCTAGGCTAGTTTTTGGGGCTGAATTTTAATTTAGCAACCATTTGAACATTTACGAAGTAGTTTTGGCGCCTTCGTAACATGTTACGAAGCTGTCAGAGGCGGTTGACACGTATTACGAATATCCGTCACAACCCCTACCGGTTGACCTGACCTGACCTGACCCGACCTGGTCTAAATGCTTAAAGACATCATCTCTGATCAAAACTAATACGATGTTCGTAATCAGCACCCCGGAAAGCCACATAGCAGCCACAATTTACGACTTTCTAATAGGTCCCGATTTTCCCGGTTTTCGGGTCATTGACCTGACCTGGAAGGTCACCGGATGACCTAGGACCTTAAAATTGGGTATCATCGGCTTCCTTTCGTGACGGGCAGCACGCTCGTTTTTTCTGCGAGGCTCTAGCTCGATCAGGGGCCAAACGCGAGGGGGGTCGTACCAACCCCCCCCCCCCTTGTGCCGTCGAAGGACGCAAAATGGCCTGTGCCGGCGAGGGTTAAGTTGACTTCACCCGAACACCAAGTATAGCATTCAACGCGCCTGAGCTAGACAAACACGATTATGCCAAAATCGCGGCAGTGCGACCATTTTTGGCAAAGTAATTAACCTAAAACCGAGCCCGTGCCTTGTGGCACTTACCTGACGTAAGAGGTCACTGGCTGACCTAAGACCTTAAAATCGGGTAGTACCTAATTTTTGCGTCTTATAACGGCACACAAGCTTGTTTTTTCCGCGAGGCTCTAGCTCAATTAGAGGCGAAACGGCGAGGGGGTTGTACCAACCCTCCCCGGTCAAAGTAGAAAACCAATCGGTCCGGCCAGGGTTAAATACCGGAATTGTGATCTAATGTAAAAAGACGGCCCAAGGCCTAACCCGACGTCAGTGACAGGTGTCCTATATTTGCAGCGTCTTATATTCACGAAGGTTTCAATTTCCACTTTCTTCAGCCGAGTGATGGTTGTCAATAGCAAGGCTCTCTAAATGCAAGCCGTAATCGCC